GGGCTAGAACCAACGACAGCACAGGGAGGTCCATGCCATCTCCCACCCCACCAAGTGTGCAGCTTGGCCCTGCTGCTGCCAGAATCAGAGGCAGACGGTGTCTGCTTGGCGTGGAAGCCAGGAGGCAGACCAGCAGATAGGGTCCTCCTGATAGTTCAGAGATGGGGTGCGCCAGCGTCCCTTCTCCATGCAGACAGAGGCCGCGCCCTCAGCTGAACCCGCCTCTGCTCATGCAGTCACAGCACAGTTGGTGAAGGATAGGGAGGGACAGGCCAGGGAGTAGCACTGCATGTCTGCAGCAGTAAAAGCCTACCAGAACCCAAAGGGGTGATGGGAGTGGGTGCCTGCTGCAACAGGGAGACTCACAGTCTGATGGGTTTGACAGCTGGTTAGCCCTGTGGCCTTAGGCAGGCCTGAGTTGCCTTGTCTGTAAAATGACACGCTATCATATCTTTAAGGGGTTTTGTGAGGAATAAATGAGAGTGGTCCTGTGTGTCCCCTCCAGATGATTAGAACCCCCATTAGCTTCCACAGAGAGCCTCTGAACCTGCCTGCCTTCTACAATTCTAGAATAGTTTTCTTTGTGTTATCCATTGAGGGAAGCAAAACATTTCTATGGCACAGAGCAAATGTGGTCTCTGTGTATTGTGCCTCAAGGAGGAAAGGCTGACCAGCAAGAAGAGCGGCGGCGGCAAAAGCAGATGAAGGTCCTCAAGAGGGAGCTGCGCCACCTGCTCTCGCAGCCCCTGTTCAAGGAGGAGCTGAAGACCAAGTACCCCACGCAGTCCGGCAGGCTGCCCCTCTTCGTGTCTGCTCCCAAGCGTGGGGAGTCTGCGCTGAGCTGCCTCTCCAAACAGAAGAGGAAGAAGGCGCGCGAGCAGCAGCCGGAGCAGCCGCAGCCCAGCACGAGTGCACAGTAGTGGCCCTGTCAGCGTGTTGCCGTCACTCTCTGCTTGTGTGTGTGAAAGTCTTTCTCCCTTGCTTTCCAGTCCACCACCTGCTACAGATAGAAAATCTCCCATTCTTCCACACCAGCTTGAACAGGAGAGACCTCCTGCAGATTTGTGTTGTTTGGGGTTAAGCATTCAATGCAGCAGCTTAATATTCCTGCATTCCAGTGTTGACAGGCTTCTTGTGTGTTCAGTGCCATCCTCTGAATTAAAACCAATGGGCAGAACCAGAATGGCATCCTGTTTTTGGTTTTGCTTTGTTTTCCATCTCAAGATGGTGATCCAGTGTGTTTCATCATTAACCTGGTGATTCCCCTAGGTCAGCACAGTAGTAGGCCCTTGGTAAGGTGGGCAGGAACTGTCTCTCATGCCCCTGCTCCAAGCTGGTCCTGCAGTGTGATTGGGGCAGCAGAGCTGCGGGTCACTGTAGCACGTTGCTGCCACTCTCAATGCATGGCCTGCTCTTCCCAGGCAGTGCTGTAACACCGTCTGGGCTGTCGTCTGCTTGCCCCAAGTCACCCACCTGAGGATGGACAAGAGCTTGCTGAGTTCGGCTTCCCTCAGATTCCCTGAGCTGACAAAGCCTGCTGAGTGTGTTGGGGAAGGCCTCCGAGACCTAGCCTTGACTTCAGCCCCACTTCCCTCATCTGTGGGGCTTGGTGGGCTGCCACCCACGCGACGCCATGTACACCACTGGCCTTCTCCATCCCAGGACATGGCTGCATGTCCTCTGCTCTTGCTGTGGGGGCAGAGGCTGCATGGGCTGAAAAGGGAGCCTGTGGGGACTGAGGGACGAGTGGCCTCCTGGTGCCACCCCAGTGTCCCAAGTCAGTTGGGGCCTGTCACAGACATGGGGGCACCACAGATTTCTGTGCTGCTCAGCTAAGCTTGGCAGATATTTGTTCACTGGACCCAGTCATGCTGTTTGTATTCAGGGGTTCTGTGGAGTTGAAGGGGGTGTGCATGTGGACCTAGGTACTCTTTGCATCCTCACAGTTGCAGGGATGAATGGCAGAATTCCCTGAGCCTCCTTGGGTATAGGCCACAGGTCCACCTGTGCCCACACTGTGAGACAGATGCCCACACTGTGAAACAACTCTAGTCCCTCAGTCTTCAAAACCATGCTGTAAATCTCACCATCCGTTTTGGCGAATGAGGAAGCAAACCGAGTGGCTAAAATTTGTTCAAGGTCACACAGAAGCCATAGAGCACAGCTGAGATGAGAAGTCAGGTATCTTCTGGAAAGCCTAAGGCAAATTCAGAAAACTCTTGTTTTTGGAGACAGCAGTATCACTAAAGAATGTCCCCTACCCTGCAGTGTCCACAGTGACCTGGACAAGAGAGCCAGAAGCAAGTGCTTTCTGTGGTCTGAGAGCTCCTGGCGCACAGCTACTAGAGGATGCCGTGGGGCTTCTCCGGTTGCTAAACGTAGTGGACTCCAGCAGCCAGGTCCTGCAGCCCCTGGGCCATGGGAGGTCTGAGGGCCCTCGTCACAGTGGGACATATGTCCTTTGCTGAACACCGATCAGGAAGTCAGAATGGGGACTGATGGCGTGGCTCCGTGGGTTAGCTGCAGCCTGTGATGCTGGCATCCAATATCACAGTGCTGCCGATTGGAGCTCCAGCTACTCCACCCCAGACCCAGCTTCCCATTGATGTGTCCAGAAATGCAACGGGAAGTGACCCGAGTGCTTGAGCCCCTGCCGCCTATGTAGGAGACTAGGATGGGGCTCTTGGCTCCTATTTTCAATATGGCCCAGGCTCAACAATTGCAGCCATTTGGGAAGAAAGTGGGTAGATTTTAAGATGTGCTATTTCTTTTTATTGGAAAAGCAGAGAAAAGGAAAGACAAAGATTTCCATCCACTGATTCACTCCCCATCTGGCCACAAAAGCTGTAGCTGAACCAATCCAAAGCCAAGAGCCAGGAGTTACTTCCAGGTCTCACACATGTGCAGGGTTCCAAAGCCTTGGGCCATCCTCTGCTGCGTTCCTAGGCCATATAGCAGGGAGCTGGATGGGAAGTGGAGCTGGGACACAAACCAGGGCTCATGGGATCCTGGCAGATGCAAGGTGAGGATTTAGCTAGAGCCACCGCATCAAGTCCTACCTTTCACTTTCTTGCTCTGCCCTTCAAATACATAAACATTAAAAACAAAAGAGTTATTACAGAAACCATTTTAATGCTAAGAAAGTCACCCAGCTGCACAGGGAAGCTACAGGGCTCAGCCCACAACCCACAAGCCCAGCTCCCAGCATCCCTGTTCTGCTCAAGGTGGCAGTGTGTTTGCCAAGTGGCTTGCCAGGCATTCCCACTATTGGGGAAGCCACAGTCACGCTGGTGTGGCCTGCTAACAAGGGGTGGGGTGCTAAACATCCCATCTGTAGAGCACTTGGTATATCAGGTGTATGTCTCACACATGTACTCTAATCAACTTGAATCAGTGATCCTTAGGTGTGGATACTGTCTCCATTTCACAGATGTGGCACTGGGAACTTGAAGAGGTGACATGACAGGCAAGGTCACACAGCTAGTACGTGTTAAGGCTTGAGATTTGAACCTGGGCAGTGTGGCCCCAGAGCCCATTCTGTGTGCTTAAACTAGGAACCCTGGTCCAAAGCAAAGGCAATGCTCTCCATTGTTAGAGTCCCACTGAGTTTTCCCTCCAGAAAAAGTTGTAAAGACAAACCCTTACAGGAACCAGGCTCCCAGCTTCTGGCTCAGAGGGTGAGGACAGAGAGCCATCTGGAATGTCAGAGTAGCAGTGGGTGACAACACAGGTGGCTGGTACAAGTTCCCGCGTTCTGTCCTCTCCACCCAGTGCTTTCCTTGGGGATTAAATGGAGTGAATATGGTAGGGAAGAGGGCAAAGGATCTGAAAAAGGAAAGCAGACCATGCCAGGGCCCGGGCATTCTGGCCCTAACATGGTAAGGTTGTCTCATAGCTCTGGGGCAGTCCCTTCCGTGCTTGGGCACGCTCTGGTGTGTCAGCACAGCCAAGAAGTCCCAGAGGAAGCGGGTTGGGCTGGTCGGCTGGAGAGCAGGTGTTTCTGAGAGCCCTGTCCAGCCTTGCAAGACTGAGAAGCAGCAGGGCTGCTTCTTCAGGGATGACCCAGGACCCATCTGGCAATCCCTCGGCAGAGCCTGGGACCTCAGTTGGGCACCTGCATGTCCACACACTTCCAGCCTGAGACTGGTCTGGCAGGGACACGGAATGTGGGTTCCTCATCCTTCCAGTGTACTTGTTACAGACCACAGAGCAGGGTGGGACACTGGCAGATTCAGACATGGGGTCGGGCACACGTTCCTGTGGGAAATGGGACAGTGATTTAGCTTGAACTCTTGGGTCCAAGTTCCAGTCAAGCAGTGCGGGACCAGGGTCTTGCCTGGAACTGGGGCACCTTACAATCTAGGTGCTGCTGGCTTCTCAGGAAGACGGGAGTGACAGAAGCCTGGTATCTGAATCAACAGGGCTCTGCTGCCCTGTCCTCCAGTCTGCTTGCCAGCAGCCTCACAGTAGCACCAATAGAGTAAGAAATGCCTGCGGAACGGAACCTGTGAGAAGGTGGCCAACTAAGGGTAGGACCCCAAAGACAGCTGCACACCCTGTACTTCCGCAGGCAGAGGGAGCGATTGCCAGCAACCTGCGCCTGGCCATAGTGTATGTGTGTACCCCCTGGGGCCATGTCACCTGCCAGCCTAGGAGGGAGACCTGAGGCAGCAAGTTGAGGAAGTGACTGAGGGACATGGCCAATGGAAGAATGAGGATGCTGCCGGCCAGGGCCCCAGTGAGGGGGTGGGAGGAGCACAACAGAGGTCCCGTATGGGACTGTCTTCTCTGCACATGCCCAAGGTTTGTCAGCTGTCTAAACTCTTGCCAGTCCTCGAAAGCAACAGAAGGGGAAAGAAACCCAGACAGCCAGCTTTGCCACCCTCTGCTCAGCTCAGCTCATTTCAGCTCAGCTGAGTCAGTGGCTACAGGTGCCTGGACCCAGCCAAGTACCCGGACTCCACTGTTAAGATCTATAGGATAACCACAGCGTCCCGATCTTCAGCTTGTTCAAGCCTTTATCCAGGTGGGGTTGACAGCAGAACCCCCCAGATGTCAGGTAGTTCCAGCCCTGAGAAAGGTGGCAGAGGCCCCAACAATGAGAACTTCATGCTGTAAGGCTAGAGGCCTCTCTCAGCTTTGACCTAGAACTCTTTTTCCTCCTAAAATAAGGGGTGGGAAGACATGTCCATCAGCAGTGCCTTCAGTCAACTGCAGCTCTCACCAAGAAGCTGACCTCAACCACAGCCAGCCCAGCAGTTCTCTTGTCGACCTGGTGATCTCGGCATGGAAGACAGCTGCCCCTGAGCCTTGTCTCCCCCAAAAGGAGAAAGCCCAGTTGCCCCAGGGAGGGGAAACTAAAGGTCCTTGGTTTTATCCACTAGAATGGCAAGAGTCTCCTGAGGAACAAGCAGCTGCAAACAGGGCCGGTGATCTGGCCAGGGTCTCCCAGGAGGCTGAGGGTGTGCAGCGGGGGCCCTGGCTTCCTGGCCCACAGTTAGAAGAAGTTTGACCCTCCATCAAAATAAATACTAAGGAGACCACTAAGTACCATTGTCCACAGCAGGTAGGGTCTCAATCCAGTGGCTTTGCCCAAAAGGCCGTGGATGTTCTTGTTACAGTCTAAATCGCTTTTAGAAAAAAAAAAAATGGAAAAGCCGGAATGTTCCACACAGGATGCAGTCCCTTTAGGTGACAGGTTCCAGTGCATGGCCTAAATAATCAGTGTTTATCGGCTGCATAAAGGATGTTGTAGTGGGATGTTTTATAGAGCAGGTAGACAGAAGGGACGGCAGCCTCGGGGAACACGTGGTGGTTGAGGGCAGTGTCCATCTCGTCCACGTACTCCACCTGCAGGGCGATGTTCAGAGCCTGGGACAGGGCTGTGATCTGGATGTGGTCACATTCCATGGCCATGGGCTCCACCTCCTGCAAGGCCAAAGTGAGCAAGTGAGGTCAGCCCTGGCTCTGCCCTGGGAAGTCATCACACACCCAGGAGGCAGGTGTGTCACCCTCACAGCAGAAAGAGCTAGAAACACTAGAGATGCAAGAATTAGGCTGGATTTGTTTTTTCTTAATTCGAGAGAAGCTCTAGTTGCACTTGAGGAGTCACTGCCTTGGAGGAATTTGTAAAGGGGGCCGGGAATTTTCAAAAGAAGCTTAGGGTTAAAGACACCCTGTTGTGAAGAGATTTCAACCTCACCTGCTTTGAGAAGCTGGGCCAGTAAGTCAGGGGATAGGTGAGTGAGTGGGTGGGTGGGGTATACGTGGTCCAGATGCTGAAGACTGAGTGGAGGGAGGCAGGGTTGGCAGGCTGGGTTCCATGTGCACCCCGACAAGAGGGCAACTGCTCCTTAGTACCGATTGATGTGGCCCCTCCCCAGTCCCAGCCCTTGGGATTTTCAAGAGAAGTCCAGGTTCATGTATGAAAAACCTACCCCACTTTCAAATACTGGCAACTCATTCAATTAAAATCACTAAACCAAGGGTGGAAAACCTTTCTGCAAAGGGCCACCTGGATATTTATAACATCACTTGGGGATCCAGGAAAATCTTCAACCTAAAAATTAGCGAGCTACAGGTCACTGAGTTTTGAGTCCAGCCTGCAGATGCCTTGGCAGGGTCAGACCAGACGATTTTGCAGGCCTGGTAAATGGCCTGTGAGGCAGACCATCCCCACCTCTGCTAAACACAAACACATCCTGAGCAGTTTTGAAAACCAGTCCAGTAAAGGCCAGTCCACACCCTCAGTATGCAGACTTGCAGACTTGCCCCAAGCAAGTCACATCAGGCATGACGTATCTGCTGCTTGCTGACCTAGTGGAGTTTGAACCACACACAGGACACCCATATTCCTGGCTAGGAATGTGAGTGATGGAGAGACACACAAGAGCAGGAGCCGGGGCCAGGGGCTGCTGCGACCTGAGGACCTACGTGAGTGCAGAAGTCTTTGATGTCCATCTCCTCATCAATGAAGTGTCGGAAGAAGTCGGCGCGGTTCCTGATGAAGGCGGAGGTGAGCAGGCGCAGGAACTGCACAATGCGGTCTGAGGAGCCCTGGTCATTGAACACCTTCAGCAGGCTGGACACGGAGCCGTCCTTCTCCACCAGCTCCACCACACTGTGAAACTGCCCACCTCCTGTCAGCCAGGGGGGAGGCGAGCCAGGGCCCGTCCCGGCCCCCAAGGGCCCAGGCTCCTCCCAACTTCCTACCCACACCCCTCTACTGGCTGCCGAGTGAGATTCCCAACCTGAAACTTGGCTAAGCAACCAGTTCAGGACCACAGCCCAGAGGCATGACTGGGCTGCATCACTGCCCGGGTCAACATGGGGTGAAGGAGGCACCTCCTCCCACCACACATCCCCATAGCAGGGTAGAGGGGACTCACAGCATTGAAGAAGTTCCGGAACTTGTGCTCCTCAAAGCCAGCAGCCAGAAGGTCATTTGGGGTCTGTAGCACGCGCTCCTTGAACCTAGAGGACAGGAACTTGGATGCTTAGAGGGAAGCCACAGTGCATCACCAACAGGAGAGGGGCTGGTCCATCTCTCCAAGAGACGTCAGCTTCAGACCCGTGGCCATGCCCCTGCCACCTGCACCTCCCATGCCCTCTGCGTGCTCTCCTTGGGTGTGCCTGCCGGTACTGCTGGGTCCACTCAGGGAGCCCAGTAACTGTGACAAATTGAAGAATTTTGCCTGCCTTGTGTTAATACAGTCATTATTAAAATAATGGAAACTTACAATGGCATTAAGTAAAAGTCCAGAGAAGGTAGAGGGCCCACGCCCATTGTTCCCTAACAACGTACTGTACTGGTTACTTATGCTCTTGAGGTTCTAGGGGCTACTGGGCATGCAAGGTGCATTCGGGCACATGCAAAGCAAGAAGTGGGTGGTTTCTAGTCTACAGGCGAGATGGCCTTCATGTGGTAGTCATCACTGGGGTTGAGCTTCTCCCAGAAGACACCTCGCCAGGCAGCATCTGAAGATGCTTTCAATTGCGGAGGATGTGGGAGAGGTGGGGCCTACTGGGATCTGGTGGACAGGGCAGAGGCTGGGGATGCAGCCGAGAGAGCTGCACTGCACAGGGCAGTCCTGGGGGAGAAGAACCAGCCCACAGCGTCCAGGGACTTGCAGCAGTCAGTGTCTGACGCCAGGGGCCACCCTCGGCCACCAGCACTCAGCTGCTGTGTTTTCTGCTGTGCATGCCACTGGCCAAGTCCTGCGAGGCTGTGAGACCTCCAAGGGGAGTGGAGAAAGGCTTGGCTCTTTGTTCCCCAAATATGGCCCGAGTCCCAGCCCCACTGGCCTCTCCTGAGAATGCAGACTCAGCCCCGCCCCAGGTCTCTGAACAGGAAGCTGCATGCTACAAGCCCATAGCTGGTTGGTGCTGTGGTGCAGGGTTTAAACCACTGCCGAGACACCGGCATCCCATGCCAGAGCATTGGTTCAAGTCCCAGCTGCTCCCCTTGCAATCCAGCTCCCTGATAATGTGAGTGGGAGGGCAACTGAAGATGGCCTAGGTGCTGGGTCTGTGTCACCCATGTGGGAGACTCCCATGGTTCCTGACTCCTGCATTGGCCTGGCTCAACCCACCTGTTGCAGCCACCTGGGGAGTGAATCAGTGGATAAAACCTCTTTCTCTGGTTTCAAATAAATCATATATATATTTAAAAAAACAACAATCCAGGCCTGGCGCGATAGTGTAGTGGTTTAAGTCCTCGCCTTACACGCGCTGGGATCCCATATGGGTGCCGGTTCTAATCCCGGCAGTCCCGCTTCCCATCCAGCTCCCTGCTTGTGGCCTGGGAAAGCAGTCAAGGATGGCCCAAAGCCTTGGGACCCTGTACCCGTGTGAGAGACCTGAAAGAGCTCCTTGCTCCTGGCTTTGGATGGGCGCAGCCCCGGCCATTGCGGTCACTTGGGGAGTGAACCATCGGAGGGAAGATCTTCCTCTCTGTCTCTCCTCCTCTCTGTATATCTGCCTTTCCAATAAAAATAAATAAATCTTAAAAAAACAAAACACAATTTCCTCCAGGCATCAGTGACTCCACACAGATGCACCTTCTGCGTCCTAACCAGGTTCCACTCCGCAGGCCCAGGCTGAGCACGAGTTCCTCAACACACCAGACCAAGATTGCTTGTCTGTTGCAGTGTGGTGTGTGACAAGGGCCTGCCCAGAGCGGCGACCTCACCTGGGCCGACAAAGACCCCCAAGTAAAGCTGAGGACCTGGGAGGTCAGGGAGATCACAGACTTCACTCCGAGCTCCACTGTTTGAGCATCCCCAGAGGCGTTCCCCAGGCAGCCCTTGCAGTCCCTTGCTGCCCCACTCACTTGAGGATCTCTCTGCCCTTGCCCAGCAGGGACTCCAGGTAGGAGTAGCCCAAGGCACGGTAGAAGCAGTTGCCATCCCCTTTGGTCTTCCGGATCGCCGTGAACCTTCTGCTGAGCTCCTGCAGGAGACAAGGACACGTGTGTGCTGCAGCATTCAAGCAAATGCAGCTGGAAACAGCACCGGCCTCATCATTGTTCCCTAGCAACGTGGGCATCTGCACAGCCGGGCTGGGTGTCACGCGTCACCCCAGCATGTGCAGGTACACAATTTCCCATATTGCACTGTTTCTCATCAGAGACATGGCAAGCCCTGGTCATGCATTGTCGCAGCAGGGTAGATCTCAGGGACAGCTGTCCATGGAGCACACTGCCACCTCAGCAGCATGGTCTAGGGAACTCTATAGTTGGCAGGGGTGGGGAGAGGGAATGGGCATGGCTAGTAGAGGACAGGTGGACTGCAGAGTTGGGCACATGGGCAGTGCCCCCAAAGCCTTCACAAGAGGCCTGACCTCCCCTTCCTGCCCCTGACCCCACCAGCAGTGGCCCAGAGTCCCTTCCTGCCCATGGGGCTGCAGGAAGAATTTGGACAGCACAGCCTCATGAGAGGCTCAGAGCTGGCGTGGGCCTATGGGAAGCTGGGGGGCTAACTCCCCAGAAACCCTTGGCCTTAGCTCCAGGGTCCCAGGGCACTGCAGAGCCAGCAGGCACCATTGGGCCTCAGATCTTTGGGCAAGACCCACAGGGGTCCCCAGAGCTCAGTGCTGTGTGTCTGGAAGGGCTGAGGCCACATCAGCTGACAGTGCTGCTTAATCCCAGGCCTTCCAACTGCTTTAGGGCCTCTTCTCCCCCACTCCACCTCACCTGGATTTTCCGCTGGTAAATCCTGTTTTCGGGATGGTCCCGGAGGATTGAGAGGATATCACATTTCTCCGATATTAGGCTGTACGATGTTTCACTCTGAAATACAGGGGCAGGTGAAATGCTATGAGGCTCTCTAAAGCAGCTCACAAGATGTACCTGGCAGACAGCCTCTGATGGTCCCATGGCAGTAAATGACACCTGCCCACACAGACTCACGCCACTGTGTCACGGGCACTGCCTGGCTGGGTCTGTCACACGTCCAGGACAGGGACAGTCAGGAATGGCACCTTCCCAGAGGTATCCGTGGTCACAGGGAAACATCTGGCAACTTACAAATGGCTTCATGGAATGTAATGGAGTGTCATGGAATGTCTCAAACCTAATCCATCTTCACACTGGAAGCAAGACAAGCCCCTGCATTTCCCCTGTTCTTCCTGGCCATCTGGGCACTCTTTCATCCATCCTTTCACCTATCCATGCATCCACCATCTGTCCATCCATCTACCCTTTAATTTACTCAACAATTTCTGGCCCACACCAAGCATGATGTCACACACTGGGAAAACAGAAGTAGTTAAGAACCAGTAGCTCCCTCCACCCAGCCAGGCTCACAGTCCAGAGGAGACACAATGCCACAGATGAGGCCACCAAAAGAGGACATACTATATGGCACCGATGCAGACAGATCTGAGGGTGCCAGGCAGGTCTGAGTTCAGAGACCATAGGGGCCTGCATCCCATACACCATCTAGTGGGTACTGCGACTCTGACTTAAGGCCAATTCCAACCCTCAGGTGAGCCTCCCAGAGTCAGGTAGGAGAAGTCACCTGGCTGGGCAGGGGCAGAGGCCGGAGGAAGCTTCCAGGCCAGTGAGACTGCCAGAGCCATGACTGGGGATGCTTGGCTCAGGGCATCTGGTCCTGCTGTCGGTATCCCTTATTTCACCTGTCCGACTCCCCAGGGCTCATCCCGGAGAGGGCCTGGCCCACAGGAGGGGATGAGATGTTAAATGACTGAATGAAAGTCCATCATACCTCTCTGGCCTCCCTATAATGACCTGAGTCAGACTCGGCCACTCCCTGGAACTCGCATTTTTATACCCTTTTCTTTCTCCCTTTCTGGAGGCACCAAATGTGCCCTCCTTCAGACACGCTGGGGAGAAAGAAAGAGGGTAATTTCCTATAGGAAAAGAAGCACAGAAGGAAGGTCCTATTTCTTTCTCCTTGCTTGTAACTCAGATGCAATGTCTACTTTACAGCAGCCATCCAGTGACAACGAAATTGAAGGCCAACATGTGGAGGATGGTCCAAAGATTTGTGGCTACCATCAGCCCAACAGGGATAACATGATAACAGGCGCCACCCCTGCGTGCCAGCTGCATGCCAGGTTCTGAGACCAGAGCTCTCCTCACTGTCTCAACTAGTTCCCCCAACGACCTTGTGCAGCAAGGCATTGTTATCCCATTCTGCGGCCAGGCCCCTCATGCTGGGAAGTGGGGAGTACAGATCAAAGTGCCTCTGAAGCCCCAGGACTGGGCAGAGTCCAGAGTGCAAAGCCAGGACACAGCACCCCGGAATACTTACGCAGGGCATGGGGGCCCCTGCCCTCCCTGACCAGTAGACTACACGGTCCTCCCAGCTCACCCTAGAGGCTCACCTAGAGTGTGCGTGGCACCATTTTGTGGCCAGTCACAAAATGCCAGGGCCAGCCTGCCCGTGCTGCCCACACACAGCCCTGGCTTCTGCCTCAAGGACACCTGCGGGAAAGGTCACGGTCTTACCCTTTCCTCTGCGTCATGCCCTCTAACCATGGGTCGGAGGAAACAGGCTCAGAGCAAGTCCCGGACCTATTTCTGTTTGTGCCTGGTGGGACTTCACTGCAGGACTCCTCCCCGGCCTCACAGAGGATCAGTGTGCCCCTTGTAAGAGCCAAGGTGCAAAAGCAAAGCCACGCCAGCATCTTCCAGAACCAGGGGCTAGAGAGCAGAACAGCCGCCTGTGTCAGCCGGGCACTCCCAAGAGCTCATGTAGGGAAACGGACTTTGTGAAACCACATGAAGCTTTTTTGGTAGCACGGATGGTCCATGAACTCTGAAGACTCCACTTCTGCTTGTGCTTTGCCTGCCTCCAAACCAAACCAAAAAGCCAAACCATGATGCCAGGGCCCAGGAGGCGGGAGCTGTGTTTGCCCAAAGTGGCTTCTGCGTGGACGGGAGGGAGCCTTAGGAACTCACCGCACAGGTGCCCGCCCATATCCCTGCCGGTGACAGCCAGCAGGACAGGTGCTAGCCATGGGTCAGGAGATGAGGGAGGCAGCTCCTGCCAGAAGGCCAGTCTGGGTTTCCAGCTGCCATTTTAGCTTTCCTGACAGACTGACTTTAGAGATAGAATATCAAAAGCAACTCCGAGCCCTCGCAGCTGCTGCCTCCCGGAGTGCAGCCTGCCACGCCCTGGGTTCCAGGGATGTCTGGCTAGCAGCAGCCTCAGGACAGAGTCCTCCCCTTCACCCCATGCCTGCTCCTCCTCGCTGCGTCCTAGGCTCTGCAGGTGGTCTCTATGTTGTGAAGATCTTCTCAATCACTGTGAAGTAATATACACAAGAGGCACTGTAGCAACCATCGGTCAGTGTACAAGCAGGTGGCACCTGGTACCACAGCCTGCTCAAGGTCTCCAGCACTCCCTCATCCTCTCCGGCAGGAATGCCACCCTGGCCCTGCCCCCTCAGGTCCTGGCCTCACTACCCAACTTGTCCATATCTAGGAATCTCTCTGCTCTAGCTCTCTCATACAGATGTAGCGGTCCTTTACTTTTCTAGATTTGTGAATTAATTCATTTAAAAGATGACATGACAAATGTCGAGGAAAGAGATCTTCCACTCACTGGTCCCCTCTAAGGCCAAAGCCAGGAACCCTACATCTGGGTCTCCCACTTTGGCTGTCTTCCCAGGCACACTAGTGGGGAGCTGGATCAGAAGTGAAGCAGCTGGGACTCGAACCAATGTTCATATGGGAAGCTGGCTTCAGTGACAGCTTACCTCAATATCTGTGCATGGACCAGTGGTTTAAATCTTCACACATGTCACCCTAGAGACATGGGAGGGTCCCCCTGTCCTTCCTCCTTACTCCTTAGGATCCACCCCTGCTGATGAACACTCCTGGGGTTGATGCCTCGGGCTAACTCCAGCCTCCCTTCTAGTCCCAGATGTGCTGGATCAGGGCACCTGGCAGGGTGAGCACGTTTGCCCACTGGCCACTCAGGAGCCTGTCTGGACACCTCCACGATGATCTGCCTGCATGAGGAGTCCTGACCCTGGGCAGTGAGACTAGATTCGACCTCTCCTTCACTCACCTGCTGCTGTCCAAGGTGTCTCCTAAGAGTCCCCAGCCCGGCATTACAGATGGGGCTGGGTCTTCAGAGGGATGCTCGTGGCAGGTCTTTCCATCCCTGGAGGCGTTGCCCCAGAAAGTCAGTTGGCTCTCCTGGGACCCTGAGTAGGGCCCATCCTCCTTGGCAAGTCCCTCTGATACCAAGGTTCTCTTCCTCACATGTGCTCCTGCCACTGGGATGTCACTTGTTTTGAGGTCCTCCCAGAGCCAGCTGAGTGGACATCACACCCTGAACCTCCAGCCCTCTGAGCCATATGCCTGTCATGTCTATTACGTGAACTAGCCACCAGGTATTTTGTTATAGCCCTGGAAAGCAGACAAATCCTTGAGCCCGCAGAGCAGGTACAACACTCTGGGTTTGACCTTGGCTGACAGTGCCTGGGGTCTGCAGATGTCCAGGGTGTAATGGAGAACGAACAGATGGGCAGGCTGTGCCTGACTAGCCTGTCTGACCTCATTAGCCTCTTTAATGGCCAGTTTGCAAATAGGCACTAATTAATGAAGTTGGACAGACGGCACCTTGGCCCGGAAGCAATTTTTGGCAGATCAAGGCAAGAGCACGTTTCCCAATAGACGGGCCTGAGACTCATGCCCCTGCCTGTGAGGCCTCCATTCACATTGCCTCGTCCAGGGCCTCTACAGGCACCTGCAGCTCAGGTTCCCGGGCACTGATGGGGCCTGCCAGCTGTGTCTCCTTTGAGGCTGCCCTGGCATGCCTGACGCAGGCTGGGAAGCAGCCTCGCTTGCCAGGCCCAGCCTAGGAGCCACAGCCCCACTCTGGTCAAGGCTACCAGTCCTGCCCAAAGGAGGCTCACCTGCCAGCAGGACCTGGGTCAGTGCCCAGCCATGTTCTGTTCTCAGAAAGATCCAGTCGCTTTGAAAGGTTCACCAGTCTTACCCATCTGGGGCTGGCATCTCAACGTGGGCTATGACGGCAGCTGGTGGCCTGTTACATCTGCCTTAGGGGTGGTTGGTGTTGTGGTACAGCAGGTTAAGCCACTGCCTATAATGCCAGCCTCCCTTACAGGTGCCAGTTTGAGTCCTGGTTACTTCAGTTCCATGCCTACGGCTTGAGAAAACAGAAGAGGATGACTCAGCTCAGTCTTTTGGTCCCTGCACCCACACTGGAGACCCATATAAAGCTCTTGGATTCTGGCTGCAGCCTGGCCCAGCCTTGGCCATCGTCACCATCCTGGGAGTGAATCAGCAGGTGGGAGATCTCTCTGTGTCTCTCCTTCTCTCTGTAACTCTGCCTTCCCAATAAAATAATTCAAACTTTAACACAAATTCTGCCTTGGAGTGTGATGTACAATAAGCACATGGAATGTGTCATGTAACACACATATGGAGTATGACGTGTAAAGCTGGTGTGACACGTGTCACACATATGGCACATGACACTGACGGACAGGTGGACTACGACCTGTACTACAGCGCATATGGAGTAGAGCTGTAGTACATGTGTTGGATACTGCATGTTACACAAGCATGGTGTGGGATGTGTGATAAATGTATGGCATGTGACATGTGATACACACAGCAGCACACCCTGGATCCAGGGGAGACCTGTCACCCCATGTGGGTCTCCCACAGCTGCTGTTACAGATCAGTGCACATGTCTGTTCTCTCGTGCCAGAGGCCAGGAGCTGAAAACAGGGCTTGCACGGCTGAGTCAAGATGGACATAAGCCATGTACCCCCTGGCTCCTGGCC